CCCCCCCCCCCCCCCCCCCCGTTTCTGAAGCTACCCTCCGTTTGTGAACCGAGCCGGTGGAAGAAAGACGCTTTTTCCTGCTCCATGCCTAACGGCACCCTTTAAACTCTCACAAATATTTTAACAAAGCGTGGTGGTGCAGCCTGATGAAGGCCCAAAGAGACAGTGGGCAGAACAAACAGCAGTGTGAAAACGTGTGCACGATATCCCCTGTCGTGCTCCTGTCTGCAGTAGAAGGGCAATTAATCTCCATCCTTCATCTTTCATCTTGAATTTGCCCTGGTGCCCTAGTAACCTACACATTTGGCGGGCTTCCGCTCTGTGTGGTGAGGAGGACGGCTTGCCCTCTTTGGTCCTGGGAGGAATGAATGATGTCAGCTGGCAGGCAGGAAGCAAAAACGCGGCAAGCATGACTTGTTCGGGATTGTTGGAAAGTAGGTCACTTTGCCAAAAGCAGCTCCGCCAGCGCGGTGGACCTTCAGCCTGAAACAAAAGCAGGAAAAGAGGAGGCCAAGGGCGGGGGCGGGGGGAAGCGTGGCTTTTCTCTAAGCGTTGAGCAGCATGATATGCGGAGGTATTGATTCTAGGGAGGCGAAGTTCTCTTGGCCAAGTCATGAGCTAACTCGGTATCCATAATAGCGTTGAAAAGGTTGGAAGCAAGGAAGAAACAGTAGAGCTGTTTCAGCAACTGTTGAAGGAGCAGAAGTTGCAGGTCAGAGATGTCATGGGACGTAAGGCTTAAGGATTTACTTTACTTCAGCCTCGTCTCCTGTGTGGGCCTCCCAAGGAATGTGACCCTCCAGAGAAAAGGTGTCCGATGCTGCCATGGGATTTAAGTGGGCATCTCCTTTCCACCAAGTGCTGAAGTCCTCCCTGTGGCTTGGGTTCGAACAGCTGGTGGAAAGAGGTCCACATATGGAGCAAGGGATAAAGCCTTGGAAAATCTGGAAAGGTTAAGAAGTTTCAAGAAAGAGGCAGGAGGCCCTGGGACTGAGGGAGGAGCAGTGCAAGCCCGGGCAATGAGAGGTGATCATGGCTACAGCATCCATAATGAGAGGAAGCGCAGTTCATATGGCCGCTAATTTTCTTCTACTTCTACCGTTGTAGGAAGCTGGTTCTCTTTCTTGATAGCAGGATAGGATGTGCTCTGTGTAGGAATCTGTTTTGGCCACCTCGTAATCCAAACTAAAGGGACGTGCCTTACACCAGACTAGATTATTTCTCCATCTGATCCAGCTTGGATCCACTTCCTCTCAAGGGCCTGTGGTGACAGTCTTTCCTGCCATTGCAACCTGGTCCTTCTCATTGGAGAGGCAAATGAGATCAGATCTTTTGCAGCCGCTCAGCTAGTGCTGTAGCGCCACTGCTCTCCACAGATGGAGCATGTCTAAATCGAGGGCCTCGCCTTGTCCACAGGGCATATGCAGAACGACACTGCATTTGGCCTGCCACCTATTTTCCAGACAGTTCTCTGCAGTGTGGTCCTCAAAATGATTTCCTACCACCTGTTCCTCTCCAGCCGGGCTGAGAACTGAATTTCTGCTGGATGGTTTTGCATCAGCAATGTTCCTATTTTCTGGGCCAGGCCCTGCCATTTCGTTGCCCAGGGTTCATGGGCTACAGCGCCCCTAGAATGTTACCAGCAGCTGTGTGATCCGTGTGGCTTTGGCCACAACAATTACCCTGCAGTTTTTACAGATGGCTCCGAGTCACAGGACTGCGTGGGAATAGCAGTCCATATGGACCACGCTGTTGTGAAGAAGTTCTGCTCTGAATCATTACTGTTGATGATGATGAAGTTTTGTTTTTTGTTTTTTCGCAATCTTACATGAGCTCTCTGGGCTTGGAAAAATCTGTTGATTTCCTGCCGTGAGTCCTTTTGCTTGTTGCTGGCAACCCCTTGCTGTTTTCCTTCTCTTTCCCTGCTAGAGATTGAAAGCTGGAATATCTATTTAGCCAGATGGTCTCTAGAGAAATAATTTTTTTTTTTTGATAGAAAGAATTAATGATTACAAAATTTAGAGCAAACATTTACATAAATCCTGGCTTGTTCTGAAGCAAGGTGGAAGGCTTGTAAGAAACGGGGGAATTTATTCATCGTTTTTCTAAGTATGCCTAGAATGACAGGAGACCTGTGCATCAATTGTCTGGGATTGAAAAATAAAATTAAGAGTTTGGATTTGATCAGGCAGGTTTAAACCAAAAATGAAGAAAGGGAGAGAATAATGATGTTTTTTTTTTTTAGTGGGCCAAATTAATAAGCTTAATTGCAACCGGAACTTGCTCGCTTTGTAACCTTCCTACAGAAACTGCTCTTGCAGTTGCCACTTTTAATCAGCTTGGCTGGCTATCAAATGTTTGCTGGAGGGTTGCACCGCTTGCTCAGAATCCAGATTTGTGCCATGGCAAGTTGACTTTTACTCCCATCATTGCATTTCTCTTGCCCTAATTATGAAGAGTTTGTTTTAGTAGCGAGCAGAGCCTTTCATTCAGTGTTTCTCAAACTTGGCAATTTTAAGACCTGTGGACTTCAACTCCCAGAAAGCTCGCTGGGGAATTCTGGGAGTTGAAGTCCACCCATCTTAAAGCATGCTGGCTGGGGAATTCTGGGAGGTGAAGTCCACAGGTCTTAAAGTTGCCACATTTGAGAAACACTGCTCTAGTTTCTGCTGTTAGCAGGCATTGCCTAGTTCTGATGTCTGTTGCATTCTCCCTTTTAAGTTCATATCATCCGCCTTTTGCATAGGCAGTACTGCAGCAGTCTGGGAAAGAAGAAAGTTCTGTAAGCTGTTGACTTTCTGTCTCAGTCTGTAGGTCTCATTCTAAAGAGTTACAAGAGTTATATCTATCTGGAGAGTAGGCAAGGTCAGAGTTACTTATTTGTTGTATACAGGTTGGTCGCGATGAGTGCAAGTTCGAATAGTGCAAAATTTGATTATGTGCAATTTATAAACTGACACCAGGTCACGTTTCATGCAAGCCAAAATTCAGTCAGCGCGAGGCCAGCGCGTGCACGGTTGAGGCTAGTGCGGGCGCAGCGGCTGTTGGGGTTTTAGACGCTAGTGGTCAGGTGTGCCAAATGGAGAAAAGGAAGTTGCATTCAAGGAAAGCTCAAAAAAAAGGCTCCTTTTGAAGAACGACAGCAGAATGCCAGAGATAGCAGGTTCATTTTGGATGTGGCATTATCCTTTTACTGTTACACAGCATTTCAGTAATAAACATATAAAAATTTATGTTTAAAAATTTTCATTGCCTATTTCCATCAAGCTGAAACCAGTCACCCTGTGTTCCATAGAAGTATCACTGTGAATAGTGCAAATTTGAATAATGCAACTAATTTTGGGATTCATTAACTGCACTAATCTGAGACCTACCTATATCTATCGATTTTCTGCTGCTTCAGAGGTTCGGTGGAATCTACGTTGTGGAGCGAACCTGCTGTCTCTTCCTTTTCCCATTCTTGAGCCCTATCTTTTGTTTTATTGAGTCGTAACTGAAGCAGACAAGTGGCCTCCCGGGCATTGCAGTGTATAAAAAGTAAATTAAAAGCATATAGGAATAAGAATAGCAAATTAAAAAGAAAAAAATAAGCTTAGATTCGAAGCTGCTCACCAGTCACCATCTTGAGACACCCCACCCCACAAGCACAGCCTCTTTTTAAAAAATGCCAAAAACTGTAAAGGGATGTAATCAAGACTGAGAAGTTATGACTGTTCAAATAAGGGGTTTCTCTAGCTTGGACACGGTGCTTATATTTAATTTTAATAGATACTTTAATCTGATTTATTGAAAATGGTTAGGCGTACCCACGATGGGCACATCTTGGATAAGTCTAATGTCCTGTGGCAGGTTTAGCCTTCATTCTTAAGAAAAGATCCACCCAGTTGTAATCTTGAATGACAAGGGCTGGTTTGCTTGAGAGATTCTGTCTAAGAGCGCTTGGCTCTTTGAATTATCTAGGCTAGCGTTTTTCACCTTGAGAGTTCAAGGTATGGGTTTTTAAAAAATGGTTGGGATTGTTCTTGTAACCTCTTAGCTTCTGCAGACAGATCTTTCGATTATGACGATGTGCCATCAAGTCGTTCTCGACTCCTAGAGACCACGTAGATAGATTTTCTCCTTGATGATCTAGCTCCAACCTGGTCCTTCAGAACTTCAGTGGTGCCCCCATCACTGCTGTATCTGAGTCCGCAACTTGCTGCTGGTCATCCTCTTCTTCTCTTTCCTTCCACCTTTCCCAGCATTAAGCCTTTTCCGGAGAGCTGGCTAGACAGATAATACTTTACAGGGTGTTTTTTCCCCCTTTTTTCCCTTTTAAACAGCCTTTGGTTACATTCTCACATCCAGGAGTCAGAGTCAGATTGCCCTCATGGCTTTCTCTTTGGGTCTGTGTGCCTCTGTGTATGAGAAGAGCATCTGTGTTGGCTTCTGAGTCACTTGGTACTCTCATAACTTTTTTTCTTTTTTGGGTGCTTCCATGGAGGTCAACGCCAAAGTGGGTGATTAACTGATATGTGTGTTTGTCTCTGCAGAAGCTGGAGGCCAAATCTCTCATCAAGTTGAACTTTGCTAAAAACAATGATGGTGAGTTGGCACTTTGGGTTTCTGCTCCCTCCTCCAGTTCCTCCCCCCTCTTTTGAAGTTTATGAAAAAGTGAATATTGTGCCAAGGACTTTTCAGATCTCAAAGAGGCCCATACCACTGCTGGTGCTGTTCATTCCCACCCACCCTAGAACAAATGGTTCTCCTGCTCGTTTTCACAATTAATCATAAGTCCCAATGATGTCATGGCTGCGGGTGGGGAGGACCCCAGCACTAACAGTGGGAATAACCATGTTCTGATGCTGTCTCTTGTCTTCCTTTATACTTCCACGTTGGTTGATGTTGGTTTGAAAACTAGATCTCCGCTCCCACTGCCTATTTATTGTTGTTCTTGGTTATTTTTCCCAAGTCTTAATTCTATGCCAGCCACCCAGAGTTGCTGTTGCAAGATGGGCAGCTCTATAAATTGCTTGCAATCAATCCATCTCTGTCAACACACAGCTGTTTATCTCCCTTTTATATGCCTGCATGAATACATGCATACCCTTGAAAACATTTGCTAGGGCAGGGTATGGAATGCATTCAGTCTTCTCTTTGAAACATGAGAACTAGAAACTTGGGGTTTGATTTGTTTAATAATTATGATTCAAGCAGCCATTACTGAAGTCATATTAATAACAGCTAAACTAAACAAAGAATTGAATGCTGTCCGGAGTTAAACTTACTGCATTTAATTCCAGGACCAAACCATAAGCTTAAAAATAAAGAACTGATTATCTGTTTAATCTTAGCAGCCAAAATAATAGTGCAACATTGGAAAACTCTAGATAGCATAACAATTGAGTTGCGAATTAACAAAGCCTCCTCAATTGCCATGTTAGAAAAAAATCACAGATAAAGTTAAAGTAATGAGACTTCAGAAGCAGGAACCACACTTATATCAAATTTGGGTGGATTTTATGGGTTACCTTAACGGCAATAGATAATAATTTGGTGTACCATATATATATGGTAAATTTTCACATGTATAATACCCGTCTCTTTATTCACATTGTGGTAGATCTTTTTTGTATTTTCTGTATCTTTCTTTTTTCTTTATATGTATCTTGGATTTACGTTAATGTGGTTACCTGATACTTCTTGAAATTAAAAAAAATACGGGAAGGAGAAACAAAGCATATTTACATATGTATATAATTATTACTCTTGGTCAAATGATTGTGATAAACCTGATAATAAATCTAAAAATATATATATTAATAATAGCCAAGCCTGCAGTTGGTTTGGTACCCGCCCCCTTTATGCCAGAAACCTTGCAAATTGAACTATCCAGCATGAAACAACCTGTTATTAAGCCTGTCTGTTCCTCCTCAAGTGATCACCAAATTTTTAAAATGTGTCAGCTATTCTATCCAAAGATGACAAATGTTCACACTGATCACGTCTTGAAAGTCCGCCCCTCCCTCCCTCCCTCCCTCCCTCCCTCCCTCCCTTCCTTCCTTCCTTCCTTCCTTCCTTCCCTCTATAAATTTCCAGAATCCATTCATTTTTATTGCTTTGTTTACCGAAGACATGTTTAATATTAATCTTTGCCCTCTGGAAAATATACAGTTCAATTTCATCCAAAGTGAAGTCATTGATACACAATCAGATTTAGGGAAAAATGGCTCACTTAAGTGGAATGCAAACTATTTCTCAACCTTGAGTTTGTCTGAACGCTTAGAAAGAGCTTCTGTTCCTACCAATGTTTGGTCAGAGCCGAGCCTTCGAGATCCTGGCACTGAATGGCAGACTCATTAAATTATGTCTCCCAAGGATGCTCGTCAGCTAAAATTTTATCTCACACTCTCTCCAAGGAACTCACTGTGGATTTTATGGAGCTTTTGTTCTTCCCAAAACCCCGATGCCGATGCAGAGAAGTATTTGGATTCCAGTCTTGTGGAATTCTAATTTATTCAGTTGAAATATTTATGGCCCTACATGATCGCAAGGATCTCAAAGCAGTTACAATTGTAGAATTGGAAATGGCCATTTTGCTGTTAAGTTCAACTCTGTCCTCAATGCAGAAATCCAAATTAAAGCTTCTCCTAAAATGGGTTATCCATCATCTGCTTGCAAACCAAATTTGTCCCCCGCTGCCCTAGACATTTCCACTGTTGATATTTCTATTAGCCAGTCTTTCCTAACATTTAATAATAACCTGCCTTTTGGTGATACAACCCTCCCAAACTTGAAGAATGCTATCATATCTCTTAGCCATCTTCTCTCAGGGTTAAAGTCCCCCAGTTCATACAACTAAGTTTCCAGACCCTTAGGAACATCATTGCCCTTCTCTGAACTTGCTTCAGATTGCCACAGATCCTGTGTGGTAACTGTGGATTGTCCCCTTCTAAGCTTTGCTCTGGTTCTGGTCTCTGGAAATTGAAGTCGAGAATAAGGTTAGCAAAGGGGAACCCAACGCTCATCTGGGGAATCGGTTCCCTGTCAAACTGCTGTTATTGTTAAGAACGTTTTCCTAAGGCTCAGTTGAAATCCACTTCCTCTCTCCTTTAAGCCATTCGTTGGTTCACGATTCGTTCCTCTATTTATTTCTCCAACTGCTTTGCTTCTCCAGTCACAGTGTCTCTGTAAGAACAAACCCATCAAGAATAAAAATAAGAATTTTTTTTTTTGGAAAGCAATCTTACAACAATAATGCCCAACCCAAGGTGTTCAGGGTCCTGCACTCTGGGTTACCAAAGTGAACTTCTCATTTGTAGGTATTTAACCAATACTATCATATCCTCATTTCCTTTGTTTTTCCTTCTTGAGACCCAACTATGTTTCCTCAATCCCTTCTCGTGTTAGATAGTTCCCAGGCCTTCGATCTAACACTTACCTGCTTGAAGAGTTATTCAGCAGACTGCCTTGAGATTTTCAGGACTTTTTTTTATGGGATTTCCTGTAACTGAGGGGAGGAGGGGGGTCACCTATTAGTAGGGTGCACTATAACTGTATACTTCTCTGCAGATCTGGGGAGATGGCGTTGGAAATCCTGTCCAGTGGTAGAATCCCATTACTTGTCTCACCAATAATGCTGGTGGCTCTTTCTGATTCTAAACTAAATTAAGACAAGCAAACAAACGTCCAGGGGGGCGTCAGGCCAGCAGAAAGTGTGCCGTGCCTGTGTTCATTTCTCTCTTTTTCTTTCCTCAACTCAGGTAAATACCACTGCCCGGTGCTTTTCACGGTGTTCACCAATAACTCCCACATCGTGGCCATCAAGACCACAGGGAATGTGTTTGGTTTTGAGGTGAGCGCCTCACAGAGTCTCCTCCAAGGTTGATGATGCATGGATACATGGAAATGGCTGGAGAGCCAACCTTCCCCAAATGTATGCCCTCCAGATATTTCACAATGAATTCTCAGCCAGTGACAGAAGGCATTAACATTGGGGTTACGCAATTAATGCATAAAGAATGTTACCCTGAAATCATTTATGGTAGACTGAATTGCAGGTGGCTTCTCCTGTGAGCTGTCATACAAGTCCTCGTTCCAAGGACACAGCTAATTTCTAACATTTTAAGCCTCCTGCCTCCTTCCAACTGGAACTTGTGGTTGAGCAGGCTGACAAAAGCTTGCACCGTCGTAACCTCTGGATCCCCTTTGTAAATGTTCTGGGTTGAATGGAAAAAAAATAGCACTGAACATTCTGGAGCCCAGTGCAAGCCAACGGAGGAGGAATGCCTTTTCCTGACTTGAAAATGTCCCACAAATACGAAGCTATTGTAACCCCACATGGCTAGTGATTGTTCAGAATTGGCCTCCTGACCGTGTTCTTGATGTTCACAGAATTGCCACAAACAGTCTAAATGTTGGTGAATTCATCCCTTCCTAATTAATCAATTGAATTCATTCCAAATCTGCATTCTAAAGCATATTTAAGCAGCCTTCGTGCATTAACCCCATGTCAGATAATACATGGATAGGGTCAAGCTGAGACCGTGGCTTGCGTACACAACTGCACCACTTCCCTAAATGTCACTGGCTTTGCTCTCTGTGTAGGGATATTTGCAAATGGCCTGTATGCACAACTACAGGTAGTCCTTGTTTAGCGACTGCCTTGGCCAATGACCTTTCACAATTCACCAATGCCTGTATTTAGGACAAAAGCCTTCAGTATGAAACTGATTAATGTCTGGTCAGTTTCAGGCAGGGGCTGCCAGCATGCAGGGTTCCAGTCATCTAATTAAGGTCACAGAGCTGAGCTTGTTAACTTGCAGTTAGCACTTTTTAGGGACCCTGTGCTATGGAGAAAAGCATCTCAGGAAGAGATTGCTTGTTTAAGCAACCTCCCTGCTCTGCAAGGGGGAAAAGGGGGTGGGGAGAAGGGTCAGGCACAGGACACTGTAAGAAATAACTTTATCTGAATGAGATGGCAGCAGCCAGCGATCTTCACAACTTCTCTCTCTCTCTCTCTGCCACGTGTTCACTTAACGACTGAGTCAGAACCAATTGCAGTCACTAAACGAGGACTACCTGTAGTGAATCTCCTGCCTGTATTTTTCATAGGTTGCAAACATATGTAGTCAGCAGAAGAATTGGAGGCTGGTGGGAGGACAAGAGGTAGCAGCTGGGAGAGACCTCCTCCCCAATCCTTGGCCTTGCATGATTAATGGTGTGTGAGTGTGTGAGAGAGAGAGAGAGAGAGAGAGATTATTTAAGTAGCTGCAGTAGTTCTATGCTTTATTAATGGGTTCCAATTGTGGCTATTGCTATTGGTTAATATAAGGGCTAACTAAACACCAATGTGTTCCTTTGGAGAAAGAGTATTTGCACTTTCCCCCTCCTCTTAAAAAAAAACAAATGCAGCGAGATGAAATTCTTTTCTGTGCTCCTATAAGCAAGAGTTGCAGAAACGGCATGAGTTAATGCTTCTGAGTGGCAGAATTTCCACCAAAGTCTGAAAAAAGTTAGGCTGCTCTAATAAATAGCGACGTGCCCACTCAGCACCCAAGGGCTTCTTCTAAAACATTTCCAAAGCACATCCAGGCCTCCTGTCTCTTCAGCAGAAATTCCTTTGCCTACACTTACCTGGTGATACCACCGTTAGCAGGGCTGGCTGAGAATTCTTTGGCATTCTCCTGCCCTGTCGAGTTTGAAAAGACAGTGGAGAAAAATTATAGAATGCTTCTCAACCCTCCGTTCTGATTCCCCATTTCTTCATTTTTTTTTTTAAGGCGGTTGAGCAGCTGAATATAAAAACAAAGTCCTTCAAAGATCTGTTGAACGATGAACCCTTTTCTAGGCAAGATATTATTACACTGCAGGTAAGATTTAAAAGACTCAGTGGGTTTTGTTTTTGGCACTCTCCTCTCCTGCCCTCAATTTCTTACGGGTCTTCTGTTGAGCCCAAATATGCTATATATCATTTTGACAAAATTGGCCACCAGCCACGGCGGGAGGAAATCTCCAGCTTCATTTTTCTCTTTCTCTCCCTATCCTTGTCCGTTAAATTTTTGGTGATTGAAGCAGGGGCAAAACATGAGAAATCTCTGCTTGTGAAGACTTGTTTCCACAGATAGATCTGCTTTAACAGATGTCCAACAACTGTGCTAGGGGAGACGCATCCAGCCATGCAGAACCTCACGTGTTAGTCCATAAAGCTTTCTGTGTTGCCTGCCTCCCTCCTGACACGCACACACAACAGAGAAAAGAGAAGAAAATATGCATGATTTGCCCATGCAGCTCAGATGAAAATATCAGACCCATGATAATTTCCAAATTCCACTTTATTAAACCACCATGTGAGCGAGCACACAAGCTGTCCAACTTTCTTCTCTCAAACAAGACCTGTTATAACCTGAAATGATGCCTCATCACATCCATCGCTGTCGGGAGACATCAGCCAACATCTGATCCTGGGTTAAAGATTGAGATGTTCTCCCTTTGTTGATTAATCCTTGGAGGTAACTCAAGGCACCCAAATTTATCTTGTTCTGCCTAACAATACAGCAAACTTTTTTGTCCTCCTTTAGGGCAAATGGGAGAGGCCATGAATTCAGGGAGGTAGAAAATTGGGTGCTGATGGGTCCCAAGGCCCCCGCAGAAGCTTTTTCTGATCTCCAGGCTGATTTAGAGTATTTTAATTTTTTTTTTTTTAATGGAAGCAGAGGTGAAGTAAAGCATCAGCGTCTTCTGTATTTTTAAGGATGCCTTTGCAACCCAGGGTTTAGTTGGGGAATGGGTCCATCTGCTGTGAAAAGCAAAAAAAAAAAACAAAAAACAAGAAAAAGCTTCGTTAGTTTTCAGACAGGACATCGGGGGCTTTTAGGCAGTGGTGGAAACCATTGCAGTTCACCTACCAAGAAATGGGGGGTTTCGAATGAAGGTCATCATCTTGCAATCAGGTAGTAAATCTTGCAGTCAGGTAGTAACTTTGCCTAATCTCTTTGTAAAGCCTACACCGTCCATAAAAGATGCATCAGGACAGTATTGGAACTGTTTTTTTCAGGCAGACTGCACGATCAGCACGCACCTCATCCACCTTTCCTCCCTTGGTCTATGAAACCCTCTTTTCTTTAGTAAAACCTTGTGGAAGAGACTGCCTTCTGCTCTCTGCAGAGGAGAAGGCAGGTGAGGAGACAAAGTGAAATAATCAAAATGGTACAGAGAAGAGAAGGGAGGGGAGCCACAGGGTTGTAATTCGGCTGCAGCCCCCTCCCCTCCCCTCCCCTCCCCCCAG